GCAGCATTACCATAATCCCCTCTGTTTCAGTCTGTTTCCAAGTGCCGATTCTCTGTCTGTTACTTTAGATGAAAATAAGGAGCCCCTCCCCACGCCCCTCTGAGAGACATTTGGTTACAAAGAACTCAATGGAGCTCTAGGAGGAGATTCAGGTGATAAGGGGGGCGGGGGGGGGGGTTACCTTGGTTGCTGATTGGCTAATGGTTACACAAGACAAAACATCGTTATGACATCATAAAGTGTTGATGTAGAAGAGACATGAAGAAGAGGGGACACATGTTGATGTAGAAGAGACATGAAGAAGAGGGGACACATGTTGATGTAGAAGAGACATGGAAAAGTGGATTTTACATAATAGGTGACCTTTAATAGATTTCAGAATACTGCTGCTCGCTGCTATTTGAAGTATCGGTTTATATGAGAAAAAGTTTGTTTGAAAACGTTTATTTTATTTTTTTCCACTGCCTTTTTGGAATAAACAAGCATATTTTACTTTTCGATCGCATCTGGACATTTATTTTATTTTTTCTCTCAACAACAAGCGACTTTTCATCGGTTAGCCCTGGGAATCACAGACAAAAGACTAAAACAAATGGATATCGTGGTCACTACAAAAGCTTTTAATGGTGCTACATAAATAAACTTGCCTTGCTTTGATTTGGTTGCATTTACTGTACCCAAATCTGGTTTGCATTTATTTATTTGGTTGCATTTACTGTACCCAAATCTTTTAAAAACGGGTGTACAACGAACGGATATTTATTTTCATTTTCAAAGATATTGAAGTGACTGTTATTTTGTATATACTGATTGTTGTGCTTTTATTTAGGTCTTAATGTGTGCATAAATGTGTCTTTGATTTTGTATATAGGTAGCCTATATACATATTTGCATACATATATTTGTTTTTGTATTCGGGATTGTGGGAAACGACATTTCGATCTCTCCACACAAACTGAAAGACTGACAATAAAGTTGACTTTGATTTTCAATATGAGTTGTTGCTCTTACCCTTTCTGGCCTGGCTTTGGTGCCTTGCTCTTGAATGTACGCGTCTGCCTTTGCTTGAATTTGGGGGGTCCCTTTTTGGGCGTGGTGGGGCCCGTTGTGCTCCCAGGGGCCAGAGCACTTCCTGCAGGTGGGGCGCTGTTCATTTCTGCTGAGGGTCTCTGAAAAGACAGAAGGCAAGGGTCACCACACTGACATTTACTCTACATCTACCCCCCCTCTGATGCCCTCTGCTAATCCTGTTTCCTCCCAGCTTTCAATGCTAATCAGCGGAGATTACATAGATTAGTTCCTACAGCCAGATTAGCTTTAATCCCGCTCTGATGGCGCAGAAGGCTAATTGCCCTTCTCAGAAATCACGGATATGCTTTCGGACCTCAGCCTTTTCAATTTATGGCACAAACAGGGCCTCGCTCGGTATGGCTAGGCCTCGTTAGGACTGGCTCACTTTATGCTGCGTTTCCATTACAGTTTAGTAGCTGGGTACAAACCATAGACTATCTGTGTCATGGCGAATACAGTCGCTGGTTTATTTATGTCTGTAGGCCGTTGTTGTGAGTGTGGACGGTCGGAGCATATACTGCGTTAGCTTAGCCGATCTCCATTCAGAAAACACGCATTTTAAAAGGCGTTTCGCCTGCCGTCTGTCTGCAGACTTGTCAAAGCATTAATTCATGGTTTTTACTAACCGGTATCAGTATGTTGTTACTTCGGCATCATTTAGAAACGTGTATTACAATTACATCACGGTCAAATATGTTCATCTTGTTGTAGTTGTAGCCCCCTTGCCAGCGCGTTTTGTTTGAATGATACGAGTAAACACAGCTGACAGNCACTGTTAATGCGCGCCTGCATGGGAGAGTCAACGAAGGGTTTTCACTTGTTGCTTCTACAACCCGGTAAACATCGAGGACCTGCGTCTAACGGAGTGACCGGCGTCACTCCGTTAGACGCAGGTCCTCGATGTTTACCGGGTTGTAGAAGCAACAAGTGAAAACCCTTCGTTGACTCTCCCATGCAGGCGCGCATTAACAGTGGGGCTGCGTTATGAAACCGGGAAAACGAAAACAGTCGGTCTATTCAGCCACAGAGCGAGCCCGGTGTTACCGCCTCCAATGGTATCAGAGTACAGGGATAATAACCCTCAGTGTTCTCGCATTCATTATTGTCAAATGTTGTTAAAAGTGCCAGCAGGGAAATCAAGGTAATTGTTCCACTTATGCTCAGAATGCAAACTCATGCAGTAAGGGTTGCATAAACAGGGTGTCAAATTTCGAGATCTGATGTTACAGCCACAAAGAAGTCAATAACTCTGCATCTATGTCTTAATCTGTGTTTTAAACTTGCATTCCTTAGTTGATTAATACAATTCCTTGATTTGATCATTGCTCTTTCCTGACAATAAGAAGGCATTGTGAGTTAACTTATTTTTCTGTTGCAGGTACACTGTGTCTCTACTCCTTATTAGCCCGTGTTGCTACGCATGGAATATTTAAGTGATGTCACTTAGGATATATCTGACTACACCAATGTTTTCCCTCTCACTTTGATGGTGGGCAAAGTGTGATTTGAATATTATGTGATTCTTGGTAGCTGTTATCACATCATTTCTGTGTTTCTTAGAAAAAAACGACACATTTATAATTCATCAAATGATGCATACTCATAGGTTTCATATACTCATGGACAATAGCAAGTGGATTTTGGACATTTTTCAAACAACAGCGTTTTTCCTATTACTTAAAGTGGACCTATCATGCTATATTTGAAATATATATTGTTGGGCCATACCTATATAAAACATGTCTGTGAAGTTTTTTTTTCAAAATCCCAAACAGATCACCCATTGTAGCCATCCCTCATACTGCTCAAACCCCTCTTTTGAAGCCCTGTTAGAGAAACTCAGATTTTGGGTCCTTAGCTTGAACAAAAAAAAGAAGAGGAGGCGGAGCTAATGCCTAATCAGAATTCTACCGGAGATAAAGTTAAATTCGGTTGTGAAAACGCCATCCTGTTTAAACCACGTCAAGGATTATTTCTAAAATAGTATGGAGCTCAAATGCCTTTTCTCTTGCAGGTTTATCACAAGGTGAGTTCCTTTTTATATTTCCTGCTTTTTAAACACATGTGCTCTTCAGTACAGGTTAGCTCTGAGTGTTAGCGAGGCTTGCTAATGTAAACAAAAAAGAGATTACGTCCAAAATATGTCAGGCATTGTTTCTGATAGCAACTTTCTGTGGGTCCGGCTGCTCGTTGTACCCCCGTTTTTAAAAGATTTGGGTACGGAGGAAAAGAGAGAGGGTTTTATTTTCTGACGCTGGGTGAGTTCCCCGACGCACCGGGGACGCATATTTGTATAAAAGACATCACAAAGTGCATTTTGCATGATAGGTCCCCTTTAAAACTGATCTATAATGCATTATAAAATCATGTATTAAACATGCAAAAAGTAGTGTAAAGATACTCCTTCTTAAACAACATTTAAAATCTGCATGAGGTCCTCTAACATAGCTGTTTAGTTATGTCAGCACATTAAATAAAGTTGTGTTGTGATTTAGTTGCAGAAATAATCTCCAACCACATTTTAAGATTCAGAGCATCCTGATAATGCACATTCCCCTTAACCATGTCCACACCCCTGCATCTTTCAACCTGAGGCTTTGTATCACATACCTCAAAGGAGGGAGCCTGACACCTGCTGACCAACTGTGAGCAGTACATCCACACTGAGGTCTGATCGCTCTGCCTCTTCAAAGTAAGTGCATGATACATTTGAAGTACACAAACAGCAACACCATATTCTGGTCACTCTGGTCCTGTTCCTCTCATTTGGTTAAGTGAGTGTTATCCTTGAGCTTCCTTTTTATGATAATCCACACAAATCTCTGAGTACAATCTGCACCCAAAGCCCAACATGAAGCACTTGGTTTATAAAATAAAGTGCTTTTGGTATGGTTCCATAGACAAAAGAGGCCCTTAAAGCATGTCTAAAAATGTTACATGTTGTTATTATTCCCTTATGTGATTGTAGGTTACCAGGGTCAAATTTGGCTCTGGGGTTGAGGGTTTTCTGTTTTCCTGAAGCATGATTATGCCTGAATTCCAAGACCATTAAAGAACACTTGATCACCTGTTATCTAGAAATTCTATTAGTTTTCTTGTAGTGGATTTCAATATTATTTAATTAGAGCAATGATTTTCAGCTCAACTAAGTCTGTCAGGTCCCCATGATCGAGTTTGTTTTTCCTTCTGCAATGTTTGTGCTGTTAACATTTTTTTACAGTGAGAAAAGAGAACATAATATAAAATATGCTAAATTGTGTGTGTGTCTTCACACTTCAACTCGTCAGATATTGTGTACATTTTACAGCAATGGATAACAATTTGTGTCAGATTAAGCCTAATCTGATTTTAGATTTAGGTCATTAGTTAAAGAATTAGGAAGATTGACGTATTTAGTGGAAGTTCTACCAATGGTAAGCAAGTGGGGAATTGAACATGTGACGTTTTGCAGCAAGGAACAAACCTCTTGCTTCTTAAAACAAAGCAACCAATCTATATTAAACGAAAGTATCTAATTCTGGTTTTAATAAATAATAGGCCTTTCCATGTCTCATAATTCTATATTTGGAGAATTTAGTTTTAGAAAACTATTATTGGAAGGACAAAAGCATTAAAAGGCCGAGCTTCCAAGTAATTCAAATTATAGCTATGCCAGTTCACCCTATTTCTTAGATTACATTGATGAATGATGATTAAGTAAATATTTATATCAATGTTAATTCATACAAAATCATCTACAACATCTGAGGGGATGAGCAAGTGCTCTACTGTAGAGAACTGGACACGAACAACAATCACGAATCTCCAATAAACCTTTGATCAGTATGAGCCAGTCCCTTCAGCGCGTGCACGTTCAAAGCGCCTGACCGCGCTCCCCTCACAGTGAACGCGCAGCGGGTCGCCGCCTCATAACTCTGGTTGTCAGTGTACAGACCGTACAGACATGGCCGCTCTCAGTAAATTACCACACAGCTGCTACGAGATCGGGCATACCTGGGACCCTTCGTGTGTGCAGTCTGCAGTGGATGTAGCAAGAGGTGCTTTGGAGGTGTCCTTCAAAATATACGCCCCTCTTTACCTGGTAAGTGTTGCTGTTTTGCCTGCAAAACGTTGACTTTGAAGCTAAAGTTAGCTAGCTAACGAAGTAGGGCTCTACTGTAGTTTTGAGAAAACATCGTAAAGACTAGCTTGAACTTCGCTCGTTTGCATTTGAGGACTGAGGTCAAGTTCCTGCATATTCACATACTGGGTGATAGAGCAAATACCTTGCACGGACTACGTTGTCCTTAGAAAACACACCATCTCATGAGTGACAGACAGTCAAATGACCAGTAACGATAGTCAAGTACAAAACACCCTCTGATAAGTTAAAGCCGTCCGGCGAATTGTTGTTGCTCCAGTGTAAGCATTATACAAACCATTATCAGCTGCAAAGGGAAAGTGTTATTCAATTGCACAATTAAAAAAAAAAAAAAAGTTTTCTCAAATCTCATGCAACTATCCAAATGTGAACACCAACAACAGTGAGTGCCACTCTTCTCTAATTATTACAGATAGCAGCAGTGCTAAGGAGAAGGAAGAAGGATTACTATTTAAAAAGGCTTCTCCCAGAGATCCTGTGGTCTACCTCTTTCCTCACTGCCAATGGAGGGCTCTACATTGTTTTCTTCTGCATTCTCAGGTCAGTATATTCAAAAATATGTCCCACAGATACACACAGCCTACAAATCAGGAAAATATGTGTTTTTTTTATGGTTATTTTTTTATCTCAGTGTAGTTTTGAATGGTTATTCATTATATCATAGTGTTGTTTTTTCAAAGTGTTCAGAGAGTTTAGTTTGCCCTTTGCCTGTCATTCCTTGTAAAGATGAGATAAGATAAGCGTTTATTGATTCCACAACGTAACATTTAAGCTTAAAGTTCTGCACATATAATGCCATTACTAAAATACACTTGCCAAATACTGACAGTTATTTTAAATATGCCATTTAAATCACATTTCCCCTTTTGATATAGTTTGAGTTTCTCCTTTCTAATAAAAGACCTGTATTTTGGATCCTGTAGTATTTTTGACTTTTTATTTTTATTATCAAGAATATTTTATATTGTTTTGTTTATATTTGTTCTAATATTTTTCATTTGACTTTTAATTGTTAATTCTCTTTTCCACTTTTTAAAGTATTTCAAGTATTGTATCTTAATGTCTGAACACACTTCTGCTTCTGTGACGACAGAATTTTCCAAATTGGGATCAACAAAGTATCTGTTAAAAAGGTTAAAGAAAGATTTGGCCAAACAATTGCTTCTTTAAAGATAACCTGTTCTGACAGCATTACAGAGTCCACTCTAAAGTAAAACAAATATTGAAATATAGTTGTGTTTATTTCCAACTTAAGGAAACTGCTTGGAGGGTTCTACCCCTGGTCTGCCGGGTTTGGCTCGGCGCTGCCTGCCTCCTATATCTCCATCCTCCTGGAGCGCAAGAAAAGGTAAGAGACTCAAGCAAAGTTAGTGGATGCATCTCAAGTATCAGACATGGCCCTGTGAGTATTAGTTGTGTTAACTGACTATTAATGTGTCTCTCCATTTCCTCCCCCCACCAGGAGAGGGATGCTGACAATATACATGACAAATATTGTAAGAGATACTCTGTACCTTTTAAAAATTATTTTAAATAATTTATATACAAATACATTTCTGTCTTCCCCACACAGTGTATATGTGACAATGTCATCTTGTTTTTAGGCCACTGAGACTTTGTTCCGTATGGCAGTGACACGAGGGATCGTTAAACCCATCAAGCACGGCGAGGTAAGACAAGCAAGGAGGATAGATAGAGCTTTATATGAGAGCTTTGTGACTTAATAAGTGTAGAGTATTAAAACCAATACTTGGTGGGCACCTTAAAACATTAAAGGTGTGCTTTACATTTTTAGCAGTTTACTGTTCTAAATGTTAAATGACCCCAGCTCAGAATACATACATAACCTATCACCTTGTGCCCACTTGATTAAATAGAGCCTTTTTAGGCTTTTATTTACCCTTCATAGTTGTGAAATAAGTCCCATGACCCGATGCTAACCAGAGGACCGTCTGCGTTTCCCCTTAGGTGCTTTTGTTCTGCATAACGGCATCGCTCTACACGTTCCTCTTCAGGTCAGACACCTAAAGTGAAATGTGAAACATTGGTTAATTAGGTACTAAAAACAAAGGTGTTTAAATTACATTTTGTGTTTACGCTACAGGAGGAAAGATGGTCTCAAGGGGTTTGCCTTCTCTGCATTAAAGCAAGTCATCTCTGTTTGTGATGTCTTGATTCAGATTGACTGAGAGTTATTTGGTAAAGCTCACAGAGTTTAAGTGTGCATTCCCTGTGACAGGTTCATCATCGGGAAAGAAGAGATTCCAACTCACTCTGTAGCGTCAGAACAGATCAGACCCCTCGAGAGGACAGCTGCTATCGAGGCTGAGCCTTCACAGGCGTCAGCAGAAAGACCCGACTCCAGCAGGAAAACTCTGCTAGCCTACACCAGGGAGCTGATAGAATCGATGTGAGAGGATACACAACGTTTACACGGACACAAAGATTTCAAATATAAATTACTGACTTTTTTTTTTTAACAATTCAGATGCAAAAAGGGTCCAAGACACAGGTGTTGCAAACATTACCAAGACAACTGCATTTCCTACTGTGTGAAAGTAAGACACTTCAGTTATGATTATGGTTTTATTACACACCCATACATAATAATAATAATAATAATAACACAATATTTATTACTTTTTCTCTTTTTTCATCGTCCAGGGATTTGTCAGGATGTTCAGTCTTGGCTACCTGATTCAGTGTTGTCTTAAGGTGCCTTCAGCGTTCAGACACATGTTTACTAAACCCTCACGCCTCCCGTCACTCTTCTACAACAAGGAGAACTTCCAGCTAGGGGCCTTTCTAGGATCCTTCGTCAGCATCTACAAGGTACATTTCATCCTGGTGGTTTTTTCTGTGAGAGCTTCTTTTGTTTCACTTCCCTTCATGTTGTGCAATTCTTGCTTTTAGGTTAACAATACAAACTGAGGCATCATCTCCTTTTAGAAATATTTGATTGCTAATCTCTGATTTCTGTCTCTCATATCCTAACCTTTTCCCTTTCTCAACATGTCTTGTGTTGTCATATAAACAACCCCCCCTTGCCCTCCAACAGTCCAAAGTCCCATTACCCCGTCAGCTACCAATACTGGTACAATGTAGTTATGTTGGGAACACGGTGTGTTTTTTTTCTTCTCAGGGAACAAGCTGCTTGCTGCGCTGGCTGCGCAACATCGATGATGAACTCCATGCACTGATAGCTGGTGAGACATTATGGTGTACACTGTTCAAAAATACCATCGTAGAGTAATGTTCCTAAAGATTGTCTCATCTTATATTATCTGACAATTTCTCTTTTTCTGTACCCCATCTTTCAAGGCTTCCTGGCTGGCACCTCGATGTTCTTCTACAAGAGCACGTCGATATCCATGTATCTCTTCTCAAAGCTGGTGGAGGTAAAATAATATCTCAAGTGACAGTAAAAAGAGAAATAACATTTTTGAGAACCAATAATTGAAAATATAGACTAACAGTATCTTCTAAATATCATATCAAATAGTTTCTCAAATAATAAATAAACAGGAAACAATTAGTAAAATATCAATGTACAGGTTTATTGATAACTTCCCTTATTTCATGAATGTCAGCTAAAGTTTTGCACTGTATTTGAAAATTAAGTATTAACTAAATGGACGCTGGTCGGTTTCCTGCAAGGGAATCTATGGGATCAAATAACATAATCATGATCCTTTAGGCCAGTGGTTCTCAAAATGGGGGGCGCGCCCCCCCAGGGGGGCGCAGAGGCATGACAGTGGGGGCGCGAGAGACCAGGAGGAAAATGGTTATTAAAAATAATATATAAATATTCATATTTTGAAAAATTATTGATTCGAAGATAATATGATACAGTACTATTACGTCTGGGTCTCTGTGTTTCATTAAAG